TGCTTTTTCTCTTTTTGGTAGATGCTTGTTTAAAATGGCAGCAATTCCCATTCTGTTCTGCTGCCCATGGGAACAGAGATAAATATTCCCTGAATACAGAGACCCTGTTCCAGATTACCCACTAGTGCCCATTAGGAGGCTGAACTAGCAATATGAGAGTCTGGAATAGCTCTGAAGTTTAAAGGAAAAAGGGACTGCGACTCAAATGCCTACCTAATAAGTAAGTAACCCTTCTTCTCCTGGCAACAATATCAGAAAGTCATCTTTCTGCCAGCTGCCACCCACAGTTGACCAGGCTTGTCCCAACATAAGGAAGAGGTACAGCTGGCTTTTCATTTTCCCAAACGGAGTGCCTAATACTATCTATTTGAATCTGGAAGGCAGCATTCCTACAGCCACAATGCTATACCAGGCTGCTGATTCACCCCTCCAAGGAAGGCAAGAGGAAGTTGTACTGATGGCTGAAAACTCTGCATGTACAAAGAGAAAACTTATTGGCCATTCCAAGCCACCGAGTAGTTTCAAGACTATCAGTTTTGGACAGCTCTGGTCTTCAGTTTAAAGATGCACAATATCATATTCCCTCCCTCCCACCCCCAGGACAAAAGCAAGAGAGTGCTAAGCAAGCCACATTGGAGAAAGCTCCCACCCTCACGGGGAGACTAGCTTGTTTCTAGCCTTGGAAGAGCCAGAGAGATGGGATGAGAAAGTCATAACATTTTAGGGGCCTGTGAGGTAGGTCAAAAACAAGGTCTTTGGGGTAGGTCCATTTTGTTCTGTGTGCACAAAGTATCTGGCTCAGGTGACTTCCGGTTTGTAATGGGGGATCCCAGGGTTCTTAGGACAGAAGCAATTAACGGTAGATCTACATCATAATTTTCCTGAGGGCATTTTGCTGCTTCGTCTAAACCTCATTCAGGTGGAAGAACAGGAAAGTAGCCCCAGATGCTCTGAACCATGTATACTGTCTTTCTCTGACACTTGTGGCTTATGCAGGGCACACAGGGAGGGAGGGAGGGTTGTGAGCAGCACATGGGAAAGGGCTGTCAAAGGTAAGAACATCTTGCTGAAAGAAAGAGAGATCACTAGAGGTATTGGGGGATACTGCCACCCAGGGAGTGCTGGGGATGGTGAAGGGATCCGAGGTGCAACAGACCAAGCTAGGCAATAAGAGGTCACATTATGACAACAGCCATGGAAGCAGGGGGAGAGGAAAAGAGGATATCCTGCAGAGACAGGAGCAGCTTGCACTGCGGAGAGGAGCTCTCCCTGGCCATAACAGGCACTTGGGGGCTGCTGAGCCACCAGAAGGATTCACTGGGCTGTGAAATATAAACCCCACTCCCACCCTGCCAAGGCTACTGGGCTTATGTAGAGGCACAAGCCTTCTGCACAGCTTGGACACCTGATCCATGCAGCAGAAGTCAGCAGCTAGGTTGAAAGAAGGACCCAGTATGAAACCAGAAACAGAAAGGAATCACCTTATTATTCTCAGGCACAGAATTATTATTCCTACCCCGCACAGAAAAGGGCTATATGCCATATGCTTGAAGATGGGAATGTACCCATAGCATGCCAGTGCCACACTAAGCACCCATGTTCCTGATGGAAGCTTTCCAGTCACTCTGACACTCCTGATGGCTTTAACGAGGGCCAGGAGCAGCTGGAGAAGCGGCCATGTGGAGACAGGGCACCAGTAGGCTGAGATTCAACTTCCTGCTCTACCAACGACTGCGTGACCTTAGGAAAGTCATTTAGTCCATCCATGCCTCAATTTCTTCAGCTGTAGAGCAAGGATAATACCTTACTTGCAGAAGGGCTGGGAAGATAAATCCATCAGGTTTGGAATGAGCTCTGACACTGTGGTACACAACTAACAGAAAAGGTGGTACCAAAGAGTACTTGCCCAAGGGCACTGAGTTTTCCTAGATCTTTACTCACCCTCAGAGTGCTCTCATGTACTGCTGCTTTGTTCTCGGTAAGTAAGCAATATATTCACCACACTTGGCAGAGTGCCTTCCATTCACCAAGAAATGCAAGTCCCTGAAGCACACTTCTGCTAGTGGTCAGCTATTTACCAGGGCCTGCCCAATGTCAGTTAGGTGCCCTGTCCTCTTCCACTTTGAGAGAAGCAAATGGGATCCTTATAGGTGGTCTTCCAGCCACACTACCCAGTGCTGGAGGCCCATCAGATCTCATAAGCCACAGGCTCTTAAACTGTGGTCCATGGACCACCATTGGTCCGCAAGCACCATTCAGGTGGCCCTCAGAAAGGTTGCGGAACAATCGAGAATATCTGTACTTGTCATGTAAGACTACTAATATTAAAATATGAGTTGTGTACTTTGATTTGTAGAACAAAAAAAGTTTAAGTGGTCTGCCGAGACCCTCAGCAATTTTCAAGTGGTCTGAGAAAAAAAAATTCGAGAACAACTGTCATAAGCTATGCAGGGCCTGTCACTACTTTTACTGGAAGCTTGCAAAGAAGACGTACAGTGCTGCTTGTTCAATGGATAGGTTTCCACTGAGATCAGCGCCATACCAACACAATGGCAGTAGAGACACTGTCATTCAAGAGGTGAAGCTGAGGTGCTGTGCCCTTGCTGTCCAGATCCCTTGATGCCTTTAGCAAATCACCCTTGGGACCTCAGTTTTAGCTTCCTGAAAGCACCTGGGAGCTTCAAATGGAGAAGAATATTCACATTCAACTAAACAGTGCTGCCCAGCCCCAGAAGCAGCTAGATTTCTGTGATGCTGAAGCTATTCCTACATAAACAGAGAGCATTTTGGGGGTGACAGTTGTATGAATATAAAGGTGAGTTATTCAACAGCCAAGGAGAAGGCAGAAAAGATGAGGTTACTTAACACTACGGTTATTGATGAGAAAGCCTTTTGCATGGGTTTGACCATTCACAGGTGCACGTGTGGTGCCTTGTCTACCCAGGAAGCCACCCTGGAGGCACCAAGGCTCCCAAAGTGACGCACACAGGACCATTTGCTTTACAGACTTCAAAATATTGCCCTTGATCAAAGAGAAAGGCAGTCATTTCCAGCTAGCAATACAACACGTACTGAGTGCTACTTCCAAGTCAAAGATGACACAAGGCCCATAGCCCCAGTAAACCCTTCTCCTTCAGGGACTGTTAAACCTGTCTTCTGTCTACAGGCAATAGGAGGGTCATACATGTCCCCAACCAGATGGGAATATAGCTCCCGTAGGCACTGGGGGGACAGGCCTATATAAAGCTAGCAGAGTCAATGACAAGGGTGTGTAGTTCCAGCAAATGGCCAGCCATGAGAACAAGCAAAGTCCCCAGCATCCAGCAGCAGGAACAGATCCCCCTAACCAGTCTCCTTACCCCTCCAGCAGTTACTCCTGTATCCAACCCAGGCTGTACCCCACCTGCTCAGGGTGCTTCAGGGAAGCATCTGCATAGTCTTTCCAAGGACCCCAAAATGCTGTGAACAAACTAAGCCTGACAATACCCATGTGGCACAGTGGTGAGTGGAGTTTAGTGCCTATTGGCAGAGGGAACCAGAGGGGCAGGGAGGGCAACAGATTGCCCATGGCCACCCAGAGGTGGAGCTGGGGGCAAAGCCCATCCTCTGAATTCTTGGCAATGGGCTTGAAGGCAGGTTAGTGAAGCGCACACATCCTTGGACATGATCCATCTTTCAGCAATTCTCAGGTACAAACAGGACCTGACAAAAACTCTTCTCCTGAGGTGAGGGGCACCAACGAGACCTCCTACCCTCTTCCCTATGCCACCTCTTGGCTCCCCAGGTGACAAGCATGCACCTGCTGCTGTACCTTTTATGATAGATGCACAGGCAGGGCAGCCTGGCTATCGTGTCCCCCTGCAGAAGCTCCTCCAGGCAGATCACGCACTCACCCGCATCTTTAGTCAGCACGTCATCTAAAAGGGGGTCACAAAAGAGGAGAGGTGAGGAGACAGGCAGACTGTATGCACCATGACAGTCACCCCCAAGCAAGATCCTCAGGCTAAGCACCAGACCTGTGTTGCTCCACACCCTTTCATCCCACAGTGCTACCCAGCCACTGTCCTGAACTAGATCATGGGTGGACTGATTCTAAAGACTAGAAGAACAGGCCATCAGAGCTCATGTCTCCAGGCAGAGTGGACTGGAGCCATACTGCCTTTCTTGGCAAAGCTACAAGGACCCTCAAAAGTACTTAGCTGGACTCAGACCTTCAGCCTCTTTGTACCTGCAGGGCCAAGAGGTTCTCCCTCCCGAAGTCCAGCACACTATTCTCAGCTGGGCATATCCTTGGGCTTTTGCACATCAGTGTAGAACAGGAAAGGGCCCCCAATTCTCTGAGGGCTGAGAACATGCTGGGGCAGGGAGGGATATTAATCAATAAGTACCCCCAGGGGTAACACATTTTGCTTTTCTTCTGCCCTTTTCATCAGAAGATTCCCATACCCCTTACAGATATTAAAGAGGCTTCTATGCACTAGTGAGCTAAAGAGCAATGGGCCAGGAACAGAAGCCAAATGACTTGACTAGGGTCAGAGTTGCAGATCCAAGACTAACCAATAGTTTCTAACTCCCAGTCCCCGGCATTAACCACCAGGCTTCCTTCCTACCCCCAGAGCATCAGATGTGGCACAGAGACCAACACCCTCCGGTAAGTTTGCTTAGCTTAGTACCTACAGAAGAACAGAGACACAACAGAATATGTGCAATAGATAATGCCCACTGCCCCCACAAATAGTACACCCAGCCTGTTTGCTGAAAGTGGTTCTCACCAGCCAGCAAGCAGTTTATCTAGGGTGTGAACAGATGTAATATTTGAAGGGCTTCAAATGCCTCTGAAATACTCCAGAGGATGAGCAGGCAGATATATGTGCCTTTGGAGCTTTCCAAAACCAGTAACCCTCCAAAAATAACCCCAAAGAAAATAAGTACTATTTAGAAGTGTGTCCAAATGATTTCATAGACATTAGGGCTGGAAGGATTTGTCAACACCGACAAGTGCAAAGTGATGCACCTGGGGAGGAAGAACCAGCACCATACCTACAGGTTGGGGAACTCCCTTCTCGTCAGTACAGAGGTGGAAAAGGATCTTGGAGTCATCACTGACTCCAAGATGAACATGGGCCGGCAGTGTGGGGATGCAGTCAGGAAGGCCAACCACACCTTGTCATGCACCCACAGATGCATCTCAAGCAGGTCCAAAGAGGTGATCCTCCCCCTCTATGCAGCACTGGTCAGGCGCAGCTGGAGTACTGCATCCAGTTCTGGGCTCCACACTTCAAAAGGGATGTGGACAACAAGGAGAGGGTCCAGAGGAGGGCCACTTGCATGATCAGGGGGCAGCAGGGCAGGCCCTACGAGGACAGGCTAC